TAATTCTAATATTAATATTATTAGTTAACCAAAATAGATTAAGAATACCATTTCCTTTCTTATATTCTTAATGGATTATACCAAATCCATTTTATTCATTAATGAATACTTCCCAACTAATTTTTTGACACATAATCTAAAAACAACCCCCAACAGTGTGTCTACGATCATATAAATCAAGGATTCATTTTTCTCCCTTATTCCGGAAACATTTGTTTCCTATATATAAAATATATACGCGTATACGGAATGCGTTATTTGTTCATAATCCAACCCCATATCAATTTATCTGAAGCATATCGAATCGCGTATCCGCGAAACTTCCTATATCTTTTTCTACGGACCCCCATTCTTATTTTCTCATTTTTCCCCATTTCATCGGGAAAAGGGCACATCCTATCACGTGATCGACGTTATCCGATTATTTCAGGGTCCAGACTGATATCCTAAGAGAAACACACGTACCAAGATGCATCTTACGATTGCCTAGAATCTCGGGATTGTATTTTTCTAAGTGATGTTTACTGAGAAAACTTCCTTCCACTTTCAGTTAATTGTCCAACTGTCTTTTATTCTTTCCTCCTTTCATTCCTTCCTTCTTTTTTTTTTTTCTTTTCTTTCTTCTTTTTTTTTCTGCATCACAGTAGATATCCATCGTATCACCCTTCGTAAAAGCAAGACAAATATATCTTCCCGTTTGATCCTATCCTCGCTATCCCTCTTCATAACTCATCTCTTCCTGTTCTTAAAAGATGTCCTTTTTTGAACGGTGAACTTGATAAACAAGCCGATAAAAAGAATAACTTTGAGCACGGTATTGTACAAACACGCGAAAATGTTTCATAACTTTTCAAACAATTATATTATCAAAACTAAACTCTCGGATTACCTTTTAACTATAAGAACAAAATTTAATTTACTATAGATAAATATCCTACGAATGATTTGAAATTAATTAAGCCTGATTGTGCTAGGTTAAAGAAAGAATTAATTGTTTGATCAATATTATTATTTTATATGTAATTAAATATACACAGAAAGTGTGAAATCAAAAATTCGATAAAATACAAGTATATTGTTTTTCATACCAAGATATGAATTTTCATTTATTACTTTATTATTAACAAAATATGAATCTACGAATTCTACCATACCAAATATTATATACCATAAATAAATACTCAATAATTATTTATTTAGTATTTCTCTCGTCCAAAATTACAATTTGTAATGATAAAATTTTTTCACAGGGAACTTGGACATTAAAAGAAGTAGAACTTTAGATTGATTGAGTTGGACGTTTCGTCCCTTTATTGGGAGTTCTTCAGCTACTGGGAAATTTATTTTCTTACATTTTTCATTACGATACATGCGTTTTAAACAATATAATTTATTACATATTACCTTAATCCTCAAAGTTCAGCGTCTTTTTTATTTAATTTCAACATACATTTCTTTTTATAATATTCTAAAACACAATACACCTAAAACTTTGTTAGTTTGGTCGTTATTATTTAAAAGCCTYAACAAAACTGTTTCAATCTAGACTAGTGTTTGWTAGCCTAGATATCATCAGTGTAAGGTGTCCTTTATTATTTATTATGTTTAAAATTTAAATATTCCGTTATAGATGTGATTTAAGTTGTTTGTGTCTGTTCTATAATTTACCGTATTATTATT